TGGCCTCCATAACTCATTCTTGTAGAACATATAACTCATTCTTGAGAACTCCTTTTAATTTCAGTAGCGAACGTTTATAAACTTTCAAAACACCAGCCTTTGAGTTGTAACAATGACCGACCTTATCCAAAGTGTCAAAGGAGATGAGATTTCTCTTGAGTTGAGGTATATACCTCACTAACATAAGAAGTTTTGCAGTACCTCATAGATCCTGTTCCCTTGATATTTCACTTCTGATCATTTCCCATCAGAATGCTTCCCCCTTCATATTCACCGAAGTCTTGGAAATAATCTTTATGAGGACTCATGTGAAAGGAACATCTGGAATCCAAGATCCACTCCTTTCCACAATGATGATCTGAAACTGCTAGAACCTCAACGAAATCATAACCATCATGTATGTTAGCTGAACTACCTTCTTCTTTCTTCTCTGCGTTACCTTGCTTCATAGTAGCATTAAACGCATAACAATGTGTCATTCTTTGTGACAAAAATAGCATTTCTTAACCTTTCCTCTTGATTTCAATCTAGATTTTCCACTGTGTTTACCTTGACTCGTATTTTTATGTTTTGTTCTTCCACGAGCCAAAAGAACTTCTGCATCTTTCTTTTCTGATTTAATTTTCAAGTCTTTAGATCTTAGTGCCTCAAGAAATAAGTCTAAAGTTAATGAATCCCTACCATATTTAATCGCTGACTTAATTTCCTTGTAGCTCTCAGCTAATGAATTTAGCAATATCACTATTTGGTTTTCATCTGACATTTTCTCCCCTGTACTTAGAAGTTCAAGGCAAATTTCGTTAAATTCGTCAGTTATCATCCAAGCTCTTAGAACTATCCATCCTAAAGCCAAATAACCACTTCTTAAGATAAATTTTATTGGGCGGTGACTTACTAATGAACAACTTTTCTAACTTAGACCATAGTTTTGCATCAGTATCCTTTTCATCAACTTGGCGAAGAACATTATCCCCTAAATTTAGGATAATCAAACTAAAGGCTATTTAATCCATTTCATGTCTCTTAGCTTCAACTTGCAATGTTTTCCCACAGACGGCGCCAAATGTTTATGCAAGAATTTGTACAACGTCAATCTAGCTCGAACCCGGTCCTTGCTCGGACTCGAAATGCTAAGGGAGGACCTGTACAAGAGGGCAAAATCTCCGACGCTCAAGTCAGTAAGCAGCTCGGACTCAATATTAAGTTCGAGGAGAAATTCGATGCCTGATGGTGAAATGAGGCCCTCTATTTATAGGCTTAGGTTCTTACAGGGGTTACGACAGGCGGTTACCTTGGTCGGATTAGAGGTCGGACGTGTCGGGTTCGAGCAGATCGAATTCGAACACACTCCCGGAAATGTTGGGTTAATTCCTTAATAGGAAGTGGTAAGTCTTTAATCTCGGAAGGATCTGAGATGGAGATCTGTAAGCTTATTCCTTTAATTCTTCTGTCAGCGGCGAATTCTCGTCCTCCACGTGGTGAAAGGATATTTCATCCCCAAACATTGGCCCCTTCTCTGTCAGGCTCGATCTCGATCTGGTAGAGAAGTTTTATTATTCTTGGGGGAAATCGTTCCACGTGGTGACTCCCGAAGCCGACACGATTAATATTACCATTGGGAAAATCTCGAAAGTGGAACCGACGTTCGGCGCGCACTTGAGTACCTCTGACATTCGGACTTCTTCCGATCTGGGTCGTCCGATTTTGGACACGTACGTGTGCGGTTGGGATTAAATCTTGGGATACTATAAATACTCCTAAATCTTCATCTCCACTTTTTACGCTTTCTGAAATCTTGGAGTCTGACCTCATCAGATCGGAGTCTTTAGGTCAGTCTCGTTCCTTCACTTTTGTTAAGTTTTCTCTCTCTTTTATTTTTGAAGTCATGTCGACGTCTTCTAGTTTTTCAAGCTCAAGTAATAGTAGTTCGTCTAGTGGCACAATGTGGAATCAAGACCCTTCGCCTAAGAAGGCCGATTCTGTAGAAGAGTTTGCGAGTAGGTTAGACTCCGAACTAGAAGAGGAAATAGATAACTTTAGGTTCTCAGAAGATGATGGAGACGATAGTGATACTTCAACATCGGGGCAAGGTTTAGAATTCCCTTCCCAGATGCCTGAGAACTACCTCAGCCCCCTTCGTAGGAGATATAGTATACCTGATGATATCATACTTAGGCTTCCCAAGGAAGGGGAGCGAGCTGACAATCCTTTGGAGGGGTGTGTAATCTTGTACTTGAAGATGTTCGAATATGGCTTTCGCCTACCCGTTCATCCTCTAGTGCAGGAGTTCTTAGCTCGAACTGGGTTGGCTCCTGCTCAGGTGGCCCCCAACGGATGGGGAGTCATTTTAGTCTAGCCGTTTTGTTTTGGCTAAGGTGTAGGGAGGTAAACGACCTAGACCTCCTCGGAGTCGACCAACTTTTAGCCTGCTTTGAGGTTAAGCGAATATCTAGAAAGCCAGGGAGGTATTATTTGTGCGCTAGGAAAAGTGCATGAGGCATTCTGAAGGGTCCGACCTCTATAAAGAAATGGGTTGGAAAGTGGTTCTTCGCCTCCGGTGCATGGCTGGCCAGGAACGAGTTCGACCTGCCTTTCTTCGACGTCCCTCGTAGGTTTTTGAAATAGGTAAGGAGTAGAGTCTTTACTTGCTTTTAGTTGTTTCCTTCCTTTGTTTAACTCATAACTTTGATGTTTTCAATTGCTATAAGGTCAATTCCTCAACTTTCCGAGCCGACCTTCAACACCTTTAAATTTTTCAAAGGTAAGTTCAAGAGCGGCAGGCAGATCATCACACTCATAACAGACAAGCTTTTCCTCGCCTTGGGATTGCTTGACTACAATCCCTTTCTCTCCCCACCTGAAGCTCAGAGACCGAACTCAGAACTAGGTTGGTGTACTTTTGGTGTTGTTTTATACTTTGTCACACCTTCGCTTTTCTTCTGTACTTATCCCTGGTATGTTTTCTTTGCAGCCATGGTTTATGGCTTTTCCCAAGATGTTAGGCGCAAGCGCCCATACGCAGGGCAGGCTTCCAAGAGTAAGGAGGCACCAAGCCTCACTGTCGTTGACCCTCCCACCGAGGTCGAGGTGGTTGAGGTCGGACACGAAGCAGCTTCAACGTAGGAGGCGACTGCGGCTGGAGCCTCTCAGGATCAAGAGATCCTTGAGGTCTCTCCCTTTAGGGAGATTCGGAGGAAGACTTCCCCCAAGAAGTCCAGAAAGAAGAAACGCAAGGCTCACCACTTCAAGGAAGAGGTGAGGGAGGTGCACGATGAGCAGCGGGTAAGTCCCTTCGATGACCTGGTGGATGATCCCGAAGCCAGGATAGGCGGCACCTCGGATATCGACATGAGGTTCAAGGTGGAACCTTCGAGCGTCGGGGTGAGGGAGAACGCGATGCGGATATCAAGTGCCTGCCTCGACCGCTGCTGAAGGAGGGCGTCCAAGTTTGTCAGCGCCCCAGTGTCAGCCATTCAACGAATGTTGGACTACTCGGTCAAGGTAAGATCTGATGTTACTTTGTCTTTGCATAACCTTCCTAAGGCTAACCCTTGCTTGTTTTTTTGGTTCCTTTTTCAGACTCACGCTGTCATCTGTCAGGCTGCTCTCATAATGAAGGCCAAGCTGGAGGGGCACGACCTTTTCACTGTGAAGGAGTGGGAGGCCTCCTCGGCTGCCTTGGAGGCTACTGCTGCCTTGGAGTGAGAGCTCAAAGAGGCTCGTACGGAAGCTCAAGCGTGGAGATCCACCTCTGAGGCTGACAAGGCTGAACTCAAAAGTACCCAAGCAGAAGCTGCTCGGCACCTAAAGAATCTGAGGGGCGCGCACGCTGTGGCCAAGTGCCTTGAGAAGGAGAAGTTCGTGCTGATGAAGCAGAACGACGACCTTGAGCGCCTCCGAGACGACCTAGAAGGCAAGATAAAGGCTTGCGACATCGAGATGGCAGACTTGAAGGCCAAGCTCGAGCTCGAAAAGTCCAAGTTCAGCAATGAGGTTCTTTTGGAGAAGGCATTTCGCAAGCATTCTGACTTCCATGGCTTTGCCAAGGACTTCAACGATGCTGGTTTTAGATTCATAATGAAAAGAATCCAGGAAGTGGCCCCCGAGCTTGATCTCGCGTCTATCAAGCTCCGATATGCGGAGAAGTGGGCTTCGGGTCCCAATTGGACCCCTAGCCCTCAAGACTTTATGGAGCAGTACGTGAAAGAGCCTGAGTAAGCTCGGCGATGATGTGGATCCGTCTTCGCAAGAAGTTAATGGAGCTCTCCTTTCGACTGCTGGTGTGAACTCCTCCCAAGAGGCTGGGATGTTAGACTCTCAGGAGGTTGACATCCTTGGGTCCCAAGGCGAGCTCGGATAGCACCTCGGAAGCAGCTAAGGCTTCTTCATCTCCTTTAAGTTTTGTTGTTTTTGACGTTACCTTCTCATCTCTTGTACTTGGCCACGAGGTCTATACACCTCCGCCAAAACTTCATTTATTAATATAATGTCACATTTTGACCTATCTCTTGAGTCTGTTATTCCGCATTCTGAATTCGCATGTTCTACTCTGCCTCGCACTTCGTACCCGCAAGTCTTTAAAGGCTCTAAATTTTCTAAGTCGTAATTCACGTCTCACATCAAACTCATAAGTTCTAAAGGTTCAAATTTTCTAAGTCTTAATTCACATATCACCTCGAACTTGTAAGTTCTAAAGGTTCGAATTTTCTAAGTCTTAATTCACATCTCACCTCGAACTCGTAAGTTCTAAAGGTTCGAATTTTCTAAGTCTTAATGCACGTTTGGGCCCCATTTAATTTCACATTGAACTCACGCCCTTAGGAGACATGAAATTAAATAACACAGAGTCTAATACTGGTACCATTCCTTGAAAATTTTACAAGTCCAACCTATTTTCGAACCATTTTGACATTTCAAGGGTAATATCTCTTCAAATGCTCTACGTTCCATGGATGCAAGAGTAACTTTCCTTCGAGGTCGGCAAGTATATACGTCCCAGGTCAAACTATGCCCTTGACTTCAAACGATCCCTCCCAGCTTGGTTCCAACGTATTGACATGCTTCTGTACTTTACGAAGGACCAAGTGTCCGACCTGAAAACTCCGAGGTCGAACTACTGAGTTGTAGTGCCTTGTTATTCGATTTTGGTACTCTGTCAAACGCAGTTGGGCTACTTCCCTCTTTTCGTCAAGGAGGTCGAGGTTGAGGAGCAACTCTTCCTCGTTCCTAACATGCTCGTAGTAGTCTATCCTCTCAGTTGGCATTCCAATTTCTACGGGCACCATGGCCTCGGAGCCAAAGGCCATGGTGAAAGGAGTTTCGCCCGTCCGAGGCGTAGTTCGGTAGGACCAGAGTACTTCAGGTAGCTCCTCGATCCACCGTCCTTTCCTTGCGTCCAGCCGTAGCTTAAGGCCGCGCTTAATGATTTTTTTAAACGCCTCTACTTCCCAGTTGGCTTTAGGGTGAGCTAGGGACGAGCAAAGGTGGCTAATCCCAAGCTTGTGACAAAAATCTTTGAATTTGGCGTTGTCAAACTGCTTGCCATTGTCCGTCACAATAGCATTGGGTATGCCGAAACGGCAGACCACGTTTGTCCAAATAAAGGTCGTGACTCTAGCCTCAGTGATTGTCGAGAGTGCTTCAGCCTCAGCCCACTTGGTGAAGTAACCCACGGCTACAATGACATACTTAGTCTGCCCCTTGCCCAATAGGAAGGGTCTAATAAGGTCAACTCCCCATTGTGCAAAGGGCCATGGTGCTGAAATCGGAGTCAGCAGCTCGAGAGGTTGATAGATGAATTCACAAAGTGCTGGCAATTATCACACGCTTTCACGAATTCTTTCGAGTCTTGATCCACTGTAGGCCAGTAGTAACCTTCACGAGTGACCTTCGTCGATAACGACCTGGCTCTCGAGTGATTGCCACAGACCCCTTCATGCACTTCCCTGAGGACATAATTCTCATCTTCTTTTGAATGCACTTAGGGAGGTGTAAGGAGAATCCGCGTCGGTACATTGTTTCATCTCGGAGGAAGTACCGAGCTGCTTTCCTTGTCATCTTTTTGGCTTCCCTCGGGTCTACTAGGATATTGCCTTCTAGGAAGTTCCTGATCGAATCCATCCATGACGGAGGCTGGGAGTCAACTTCCATCATTTCCGGTTCCAAAATGGAAGGCTTGTCCAAGATTTCCACCGGAACAGATATCATCAAGTCGGTCTCGTAGGCTGATGCCAATTTGGCCAAGGCATCGGCATTGGAGTTTTGTGACCTCGGAATCTGGCTGATTTCGTATGCTTGAAAATGGACGAGGTGCGACCTGACCTTCCCCAGGTATTTCTCCATCCGAGGGTCTTTTGTTTGATACTCTTCTTTGATCTAATTCACTATCAGCTGTGAATCACTAAAAATCTACAAGTAGCTGGGTCAATTCCTCTTGCCATGCGCAGTCCGACCAACAGGGCTTCAAACTCGGCCTCATTGTTTGAGGTACGGAAGTTGAAGCGAACGGCGTACTCAAAATGCATGCATCCAGGGCGAGGAGAAGTACACATGCACTACATCCTTTCTCATTTGAGAACTCGTCCACGTACATCGCCCCATGGCTGGTTGGACGCGGATGTTTGAGCCGATAGGGGAGTGAGTTCCGCTATGAAGTCTACGACGACCTGCCCCTTCACAACCGTTCGGGGCTCGAACTGAATATCATACTCACTCAGCTCCACAGCCCATTTCATCAATCTGCCAGACGTTTCTAGCTTATGAAAGACTTGCTTCAAAGGCAAGTTTGTGAGCACAGTCACAGTGTGGGCTTGGAAGTACGACCTCAGCCTTCGTACCGAGGTGACCAAGGCGAGGGCCAGTTTCTCCATTTGGGATACCTCGTCTCGGCCTCAGTCATGGCCTTACTTGTGTGGTAAACAGGAATTTGCCGCACTCCGTCTTGCTTAATTAGGGCCGAACTAACTGCGTTGTCGGACACGGCCAAATATAAATGTAGTTTGTCCCCTGGCATAGGCTTCAAGAGCAATGGTGCCGAATAGAGGTAGCTTTTGAGTTATTCAAAGGCTGTTTCACATTCGGCTATCCACTCAAAAGGTCCCTTCTTTCTTAGGGTTTTGAAGAAAAGGATGCATTTATCCGTGGACCTGGAGACAAACCTATTGAAGGCAGCGATTCTCCCGTTAAGGCACTGTAGCTGCTTGAGGGTCCTTGGGGCTTGCATCTCGAGCACCGCCCTTATCTTCTCTGGGTTAGCCTCTATGCCACGATTATTCACCATGAACCCCAGGAACTTGCCAGATGAGACTCCAAAGGCGCACTTGGCAGAATTTAACTTCATCTGGTACTTTCGGAGGACCACGAAAGTTTCAGTCAAGTCGGCCAGGTACGACCTAGACTGCTTGCTCTTGACAAGCATGTCGTCCACGTAGACTTCCATATTGCGTCTGATCTGGTTGGCGAACATCTTGTTCACCATCCTCTGATAAGTTGCTCCAGCGTTATTTAGATCGAAGGGCATAACCTTATAGCAGTATAGGCCTTGATCGGTTATGAAAGAGGTGTGGACTTGGTCTGGCTTGTGCATCTTTATCTGGTTGTATCTGGAGTAGGCATCCATGAAGGTGAGCAGCTTGTGCCCGGTTGTAGCATCTACGAGCTAGTCGATCCTCGGTAGTGAGAAACAATCTTTTAGGCAAACCTTGTTAAGATTGGTGAAATCGACGCACATCCTCCCCTTCCCGTTAGATTTTTTAACCAAGACAACTTAGAGAGCCACTCGGGATACAAAATTTCTTTAATGTATTCAGCTTTTAGAAGTTTGTTTACTTCGTCAACAATTACATCACTCCTCTTTCTATTTACATGTCTTCTTTTCTGCTTGACAGGTCGGAATGATGGGTCAATGTTGAGGCGATGAACCATAATCTTCGGATCTATACCCGGCATGTCCTCGTGAGACCACGCAAACACGTCGGAGTTCACCCTGAGGAAGGAGATGAGCTCTTCTCTGTCCACAACCCCTAGCTTGGTGCCTATGCTCACTTGCTTCTTCGGGCTAAGCAAAGGGACAAGCTTTAACTCCTCCATAGGTGCGGCCACTTCTCGCTGGCTAGTCTTGGGCAGCTCATCCTCGGAAGCTTGAATTGCTGAACTTAAAAGATTTGTCAGTTCTTCCAGGGCGCAAACTGCTGATCCTTTGAGTGTAGAGGTGTAGCACTCGCGGGATTTGTTCTGCTCCCCTCGGATCATGCCGACCCCATTGATTGTAGAGTATTTCATGACTTGGTGCAGAGTCGATGGGACGGCACGAAGTGAGTGAATTATAGGTCGTCCGAAGATGGCATTGTAGGCCGACCTTTCATCTATCACGAGGAACTCGACCATCTAGGTGACTTGAGTGTCACCTTGACCGACTGTAATGGAAAAATCAATGCATCCTTCTTGGGTGACAGATTCTCCTATGAATCCAACTAAAGGTGTTACACTTTTCTTCAACTGTGCTCTGGTCCATCCTAACGCTAAATAAGTAGTGAGAGATAAGATGAGAGGCACCTCCATCGACCAACACCCTTCTGAACTGCACATGGTCGATCAGTGGTGAGATCACCAAGGCGTCATTGTGGGGCAAATGCACTCCCTCAAGATCGGAGTCGGAGAAGGAGATAGGGCATGTTGACTTCTGCTTCTGAATAATGCAGACTTCACGCCGAGCTTCCCTGGCTAGCTCCTTCCTTTTATTTCCGGAGTGGCCCCCACTCGGGTCTCCGAAGATGGTATTAATGATCGCAGGTCGGTCATCCCTTCTAGGTGGCGTCCTTGAACACTTCCTTTCTTCCTTTTTTTACCGAGCTCGAGCCCGGCTTACCGACATATTTTTTAAAGTAGCCATCTTGAATCAAGTCTTCAGTCTGGCGCTTCAACTCCCAGCAGTTTGAGGTATCATAGCCGTGGTCCTAGTGGAAACGGCAATACCTGTCCTTGCTACGTTTCTCAGGGTCTCCTCTAAGCATCTCAGGTCGCTTGAGGAGCTTTTCCAATCCATTCTCCTTGATGTTGGTGAGGATCTTGGAGATCGGAATGGTGGTTGGGGTGTACCTTTCATAAGGCCCCCTTCGAATGGAGTATGAGTTGGATCTCCTGTAATCAGACCGGCCCTAGGAGGGTTGGGAAGACGACCCTTTGTCCTTGGACTTAGAATCAGACCTCCTTTTATCTTGGCCGCCTGCCTTTCTCTGGTCGGACCTCCTGTCTGTCCGACCTAGCTTGGTTCTGAGTAGCTCCTACCCATCTATGACTTTCTTGGCCTTTTGCAAGGCCTCAACAAAGGTTRACGGTGCTTCTTACCCAGTTTAACCGTCAGAGTCTCGTCGGCCAGGCCGGTAAGGAAGTAACACATTGCTGAGTCGTCAGAGCAATGCGCGACTTTAAGCTGCTCGTCCTGGAAGAGGGTAACATATTCTCTCAAAGTCTCGCCTTCTTTCTATCGAATGGTGGCGAGGTGAGTGGCAATTTTCCTGTCATAATACCGAGAAAAGAATTGGCTAATGAACTCCTTCCTCAGCTGATTGTAGGTCGAGATCGACCTGGCCGATAGCCTTCTATACCAAAACGAAGCACTCCCCATGAGAGCGATTGGAAAGACTCGGCACTTGATGGCATCAAACGCCGCTTAGAAATCCATAAAACCTTCAAAGACCTCCACATAGTCTTTCGGGTCCTTAAACCTGTCTTAGGGCTTCATGGCAGGCGTTTTAAACTTCGGAGAGATCGGCACCTCTAGGATGTCCGAGGTGTGTTTATGCAAGGATATGCACAACAGTGTGTTCCAGATTGCAGCTCAAACTCGGCCTCCGGACCGATCTGAATCCTTGGGCGGACCTGCACAAAAAGGTGAGCACTCCGACGATCAAGTCAGTATAGGTCGGATTCCCAGTTTAGTTCGAGGCCAGAAATCATCGTACCTGATCGTGGAGTGAAGTCCTCTACTTATGGGTGGTAGTCCCACTAATCTCGCAACGGTTACACCTGGTAATCTTGGGATCGTCGGTTACACCCGGTAATCTCGGGACCGACGATTATGCCCGATAATCACGCCGCTGACTGTAGTTCGCATCGGCCCCCACCGAGCTTCCCGGTAGGTCGGACCTCGGCCAGGTTCACCTCGGCCCTCATACTTAGTATCTGTCAACGCTAGTAGTGGTGATCTCGGCCGTCCGAGCTGGGCATGACT